TATATTTCAATATGCCTGCTAGTGTGTTAAAATCTTTCCACTCAGAATGTCTCGAATATTTATAGATTTATATGTAAATTTATATCTAAAATTTAATTGGCTCAGTTCACATGCAGTTCTTTGCGCCTATAATTCTCTTTCATTTTTAATACATCGAAAATTTTCTTCAAGTACTAGTGTAGTGCTTAATAGAATATACCTTTGCCTCCCACAAATACTTGTCCTTCTAACATTTCGATTCCTATATACACTAGCCATAGTCAGGTGTCGGACGTTGCATCCGGTAACCTTGGATATGTTTTATCCATTCCAAATTTCTTATTACATACTCCATGTTCGGCGATATTTCATATTAAGTAATTCTCACCTGTCTATTTTTTGTCTTTTGTTTCTCTCTTTCTTTTGTTGGTTGGTTTTGGTTTGTTTTACAGCATATCAACCCCAATGGGTTATTTAATGCCGACAAGTTTTATTACTGGTATTTTTTTTTTCAAAAATGTATTGCTGGTAATATATTTTTCCTCAAAATATCTATTTCTGGTAACTTTTTTTTTCAAAAACGGATTGCTGGTGTTTATGTATTCCTGCTAATTTTTTATTCTTCAAAAATTTATTGCTGGTAATAAAAACCTATTTTTAAACTTTCATAGTGCCCATAGATGAGACCCTAACTGCCTGGGTCAGGGTGGACATGGGAGCATCAGTGTTTAAGAGATGGTTCCACGCTCCTCAAAACATCCTGATCAGAGGCCTTGCTGTTGGACGTAGTTTATCGTCTTACAAAGGACGACTCATTTGGAGGAGGTGGTAACCCCTCTGCTGTGGTGCAGTCGGCCTATTGTGAAGCTACAGCCGACAGGGATATTTCTTTTATTGAAATATATACTGTTAGTTTTCCACACTTGTAGACACCTGTGATTGAAAGGAAACCGAAAAAAAACACCATCCAAGTCACACCTGAATAAATGGGATCTATGTTGCAAAAAGGTGACAGAATAATATTATGTTAAAATACAAGCTAGATGCTACAACCACAAAAAATAGTATTATCGCATCCAAAATGATCATGTTTCTTCCACTATCAAGACATACGTTATTAAGCGAAGTAGTTTAACCGGTGGAGTAATAGATAGCGACTCGGATTAAGGAAATGGAGAGTCGAGTTCGAATTCCAGTCGAATCCATTATATTCACTTATGTGCTAATACCCTTGGGAAAGATACAAATCCTCTTCTTCCTCTCCCCCCCCATCTATGGATAAATAGCAAGACGGGCCGGATAGCAACTGGTCTACCGCAGTCATGTATCGAAAGATACACGATCGCCTAAGCGTGTATTACGCATGACACATAACTGACTGAGTTTAAACGAATTTCAATATGGGATTTCAATATTTTCATAAAGCTATCCGTAATAATATTATGGCAATTAATAACAATTTGTCTGCGATCAATTGGGTATAACGATAAACAACATCAGGGAACAAGGCCAGGGATTGGGAAATTGCAAATTTTAGGCGCTTGGAACCAATTCTTAATTGCTGTTATTGCCAAGCCCGCCGTGAGCCGGTGTGGTAGAATTTGTTAGAATGCTAGCAATGGGCAGATAGTGAACCCCCGAATAAAAAAAAAAACAATGACAGTATGACAGATACACGTTTATATTGAAAATACCAGCAATATATTCTATATGAAAAAATTACCAACAACAATTGTAGAGACTTCACTAAATCCATTTAATAAATGAACGAAAACATGAAAGAACTATTTAATGACATTAATCGATATAATATTCAACAATTTCTTAAAGAAATCAAAATTGTTTTCAAAATTTTACCTTCAACCAAAATGCAACATAAAAAGATATGCCACCGCCTGAAAAAACTATGTCCACACAAACACATAGTCATACATACATATATATATATATATATATATATATATATATATATATATATATATATATATATATAGTCTTAAGATGTGCTATATATATGGGATAAAGTGCTCAATATCAGAGATAGAGCGTGTGTAAATATAAAAGTGAAAATAGAGGTCAACACTTAGAGGCAACAGTCTCTGTTTCATGCTAGATGCAATTGTCAGGCCACCTGATATATATATATATATATATATATATATATATATATATATATATATATATATATATATATGGGGCGACAGAGAAAGAGGCATATTTAAGTAAAGGATAAAGAGAAGAAATTATGAAATGGATCAAGGCATACGGAAATGTCGATTGACATTACATTTGAATATTTGAATATTATAGCTATCAGGGAAGCAAGAAATGGGAAGGGATTCGACAGAATGAAAAGAAGAAGAATGCTAGAATGAAAAGAAGAAGAATGGCAGAATGAAAAGAAGAAGAATGGCAGAATGAAAAGAAGAAGAATGCTAGAATGAAAAGAAGAAGAATGCTAGAATGAAAAGAAGAAGAATGCTAGAATGAAAAGAAGAAGAATGGCAGAATGAAAAGAAGAAGAATGCTAGAATGAAAAGAAGAAGAATGGCAGAATGAAAAGAAGAAGAATACTAGAATGAAAAGAAGAAGAATGGCAGAATGAAAAGAAGAAGAATGGCAGAATGAAAAGAAGAAGAATGCTAGAATGAAAAGAAGAAGAATGCTAGAATGAAAAGAATAAGAATGGCAGAATGAAAAGAAGAAGAATGGCAGAATGAAAAGAAGAAGAATGAAAAGAAGAAGAATGGCAGAATGAAAAGAAGAAGAATGGCAGAATGAAAAGAAGAAGAATGGCAGAATTAAAATAAAAAGAATGGCAGAATGAAAAGAAGAAGAATGCTAGAATGAATTGAAGAAGAATAGCAGAGTGAAAAGAAGAAGAATGGCAGAATGAAAAGAAGAAGAATGAAAAGAAGAAGAATGGCAGAATGAAAAGAAGAAGAATGCTAGAATTAAAAGAAGAATAATGGCAGAATGAAAAGATGAAGAATGCTAGAATGAAAAGAAGAAGAATGCTAGAATGAAAAGAAGAAGAATGGCAGAATGAAAAGAAGAAGAATGGCAGAATGAAAAGAAGAATTATGGCAGAATGAAAAGAAGAAGAATGGCAGAATGAAAAGAAGAAGAATGGCAGAATGAAAAGAAGTAGAATGAAAAGAAGAAGAATGCTAGAATGAAAAGAAGAAGAATGCTAGAATGAAAAGAATAAGAATGGCAGAATGAAAAGAAGAAGAATGCTAGAATGAAAAGAAGAAGAATACTAGAATTAAAAGAAGAAGAATGGCAGAATGAAAAGAAGAAGAATGCTAGAATGAAAAGAAGAAGAATGCTAGAATGAAAAGAAGAAGAATGGCAGAATGAAAAGAAGAAGAATGAAAAGAAGAAGAATGGCAGAATGAAAAGAAGAAGAATGGCAGAATGAAAAGAAGGGGAATGGCAGAATTAAAAGAAAAAGAATGGCAGAATGAAAAGAAGGAGAATGCTAGAATGAATTGAAGAAGAATGGCAGAGTGAAAAGAAGAAGAATGGCAGAATGAAAAGAAGAAGAATGGCAGAATGAAAAGAAGAAGAATGCTAGAATTAAAAGAAGAATAATGGCAGAATGAAAAGATGAAGAATGCTAGAATGAAAAGAAGAAGAATGCTAGAATGAAAAGAAGAAGAATGGCAGAATGAAAAGAAGAAGAATGGCAGAATGAAAAGAAGAAGAATGAAAAGAAGAAGAATGGCAGAATGAAAAGAATAAGAATGGCAGAATGAAAAGAAGAATAATGGCAGAATGAAAAGAAGAAGTATGCTAGAATGAATTGAAGAAGTATGGCAGAGTGAAAAGAAGAAGAATGGCAGAATGAAAAGAAGAAGAATGAAAAGAAGAAGAATGGCAGAATGAAAAGAAGAAGAATGGCAGAATGAAAAGAAGAAGAATGAAAAAGAAGAAGAATGGCAGAATGAAAAGAATAAGAATGGCAGAATGAAAAGAAAATAATGGCAGAATGAAAAGAAGAAGTATGCTAGAATGAATTGAAGAAGTATGGCAGAATGAAAAGAAGAAGAATGCTAGAATGAAAAAAGAAGAATGGCAGAATGAAAAAAAAAAGAATGGCAGAATGAAAAGAAGAAGAAGGCAGAATGAAAAGAAGAATAATGGAAGAATGAAAAGAAGAATGAAAAAGAAGAAGAATGGCAGAATGAAAAAAAGAAGAATGGCAGAATGAAAAGAAGAAGAATGGCAGAATGAAAAGAAGAAGAATGGCAGAATGAAAAGAAGAAGAATGAAAAGAAGAAGAATGGCAGAATGAAAAGAAGGAGAATGGCAGAATGAAAAAGAAGAAGAATGAAAAGAAGAAGAACTGCAGAATGAAAAAGAAGAAGAATGAAAAGAAATGAAAAAAAGAAGAATGGCAGAATGAGAAAAAAAAGAATGCTAGAATGAAAAGAAGAATGGCAGAATGAAAAGAAGAAGAATGGCAGAATGAAAAAGAAGAAGAATGGCAGAATGAAAGAAAAAGAATGGCAGAATGAAAAAAGAAGTATGGCATAATGAAAAGAAAAAGAATGGCAGAATGAAAAGAATGAAAAGAAGAAGAATGCTAGAATGAAAGAAAAAGAAGAAGAATGGCAGAATGAAAAGAAGAAGAATGCTAGAATGAAATAAGAAGAATGGCAGAATGAAAAGAAGAATAATGGCAGAATGAAAAGAAGAAGAATGGCAGAATGAAAAGAATAAGAATGAAAAGAAGAAGAATGGCAGAATGAAAAGAAGAAGAATGCTAGAATGAAAAGAAGAAGAATGGCAGAATGAAAAGAAGAAGAATGCTAGAATGAAAAGAAGAATGGCAGAATGAAAAGAAGAAGAATGGCAGAATGAAAAGAAGAAGAATGGCAGAATGAAAAGAAAAAGAATGGCAGAATGAAAAGAAGAAGAATGGCATAATGAAAAGAAAAAGAATGCTAGAATGAAAAGAAGAAGAATGCTAGAATGAAAAGAAGAAGAATGGCAGAATGAAAAGAAGAAGAATGCTAGAATGAAATAAGAAGAATGGCAGAATGAAAAGAAGAAGAATGGCAGAATGAAAAGAAGTAGAATGAAAAGAAGAAGAATGCTAGAATGAAAAGAAGAATAATGGCAGAATGAAAAGAAGAAGAATGGAAGAATGAAAAGAAGAAGAATGAAAAGAAGAAGAATGGCAGAATGAAAAGAAGAATAATGAAAAGAAGAAGAATGGCAGAATGAAAAGAAGAAGAATGAAAAGAAGAAGAATGGCAGAATGAAAAGAAAATGAATGGCAGAATGAAAAGAAGAAGAATGCTAGAATGAAAAGAAGAATAATGGCAGAATGAAAAGAAGAAGAATGAAAAGAAGAAGAATGGCAGAATGAAAAGAAGAAGAATGCTAGAATGAAAAGAAGAAGAATGGCAGAATGAAAAGAAGAAGAATGCTAGAATGAAAAGAAGAATGGCAGAATGAAAAGAAGAAGAATGGCAGAATGAAAAGAAGAAGAATGGCAGAATGAAAAGAAAAAGAATGGCAGAATGAAAAAAGAAGAAGAATGGCATAATGAAAAGAAAAGAATGCTAGAATGAAAAAGAAGAAGAATGCTAGAATGAAAAAAGAAGAATGGCAGAATGGAAGAATGGCAGAATGAAAAGAAGAAGAATGCTAGAATGAAATAAGAAGAATGGCAGAATGAAAAGAAGAAGAATGGCATAATGAAAAGAAAAAGAATGCTAGAATGAAAAGAAGAATGCTAGAATGAAAAGGAGAAGAATGCTAGAATGAAAAGAAGAAGAATGGCAGAATGAAAAGAAGAAGAATGCTAGAATGAAATAAGAAGAATGGCAGAATGAAAAGAAGAAGAATGGCAGAATGAAAAGAAGTAGAATGAAAAGAAGAAGAATGCTAGAATGAAAAGAAGAATAATGGCAGAATGAAAAGAAGAAGAATGGAAGAATGAAAAGAAGAATAATGAAAAGAAGAAGAATGGCAGAATGAAAAGAAGAAGAATGGCAGATTTAAAAGAAAAAGAATGGCAGAATGAAAAGAAGAAGAATGAAAAGAAGAAGAATGGCAGAATGAAAAGAAGAAGAATAGCAGAATGAAAAAAAAATTGAAAAACGAAAAAAAAATAATCACCGAATAAAAGAAGGATAAGATGAATAAAGTTAAACGCAAAGTTTGAAGGAAAGAATCAAAGGAAATCTTGAATAATAAAACCACAAATAAAAGGGAAATATGATTAATGAAAAAAAAAAAGATTAAAAGTGAGATGTAAATAATGAAACAAAAAGACAAAGACAAATTTAAATATGGAATCATAGAGGTATATGAAGAAAGAAAACACACAATCAAAGGCGAATTTAAAGAAGAAAAAATAAGAATACTAGGAGCTAATGAACGTATCAAGTGCAATAAAGAGAAACTGGAAGATTTGAAAGAAATTAAATAGAATGAAGGAATAATAATAATAATAATAATAATAACAATAATAATAATAATAATAATAGGAAGGAAATAGGACAATGGAAGGATAATAAATAGCAAGACATGAAGGGTATTGAAATAAAGAAGAATGAAAGAGTGAAGAGTGAAAGAAGAAAACTGAAGAAAGGGAAGGGGAAAAAGAAAACAAATGAAAGGAGAAGCAAGGAAAAACGCAGTGATCATAAAAACAATTGAAATTGTTCAAAAGAATGAAAAATTGTCAAATGGAAAGCGATTAAACAAAAATTAAAATATAGATGAATGCGGGAAGAAATATGAAACTAGTTATAAAAGAAAAGAGGATAAATATGAAGTGTTGCTTGGAAATTTGGAAGACCAATGGGAGGAGAAAAATAAAAAGAATGAAAAAGAACTAGGAAATATACAATAGGAAAGGAGTACGAAAAAAATAAGATACTATAAAAAAAGAAAGATAAATTAGGAAATTAAATATGAAAAAGAGACAATGGATATTATGAAAAAACAAAAACAAAAAAAATCATATCACCAAGAAAAATGAAAGGAAGCAAACGACAATATGATATTAGAAAGAAAGAAAGAAAGAAAGAAAGAAAGAAGGAAGGAAGGAAGGAAAGAAATAAAGACTAGAAAATGAAATACGAGAAAAAGGGAGACAGAATGAAAACTTTGAATGAAAAAAGAGAAGCTGTGAAAGAAAGGATGAAAAAGCAAGGAAGACAATAAGATGCCAAAAATGAAAGGAAGAAAGAATGAAAGAAATAAAAAAAGAAAGAAAACAAAAGACAAATATGAGGAAATGGAATTTGAAAAAATAGAGAAAGAATGAATATTAGGAAAAAAAGCAAAAGCCATACCAGAAATAAATAAATTGATAAAGAAAGAAAGAAAGAAAGAAAGAAAGAAAGAAAGAAAGAAAGAAAAATTATAAAGGAATCAATAAAAAAAACGGTGAAAATAACCAATTTTACAGTTACAGATAAATTAGGAAATTAAATATGAAAAAGAGACAATGGATATTATGAAAAAACAAAAACAAAAAAAATCAGTAACTGAAAAACATAATATTGACAAAAAAATAGGATATTGAAATGTGCGAAAGAATGAAAGAGAGAGAGACAGAGAAAGAGATAGAGAAAGAGAGAGAGAAAGAGAGAGAAAGAAAGAGAGAGAGAATGACAAAAAACGGATCCTTTGAGAAAAGACAGCAATATATATATATATAAAAAACACAATTCATAAAACATGGCAAAAAACATACGATATTATGAGGAAATAAATCTCTACGGATTTAATGCAAATAAATTATAAAACAGATTAAAATAAAATCTTTAGAAGGAAAATAAATCAAGTTCAATAAATAAGAAAAGAAAACAATGTCAGAATAAAATGGCCAAATTAGGAATGGGAAAGAAAGAAAGAGAGAAAGAAAGAAAGAAAGAAAGAAAGAAAGAAAGTTAAAGAACAAAAGATGAAAGCGATTTTCAGATTGGAAAGAAATTAAAAAGAGGCCCATGAAATAGCATCTAATTAGAAATCAAAAAAATTGAAAAAAATAGAGATGAAAATTAAAGTGAATAAAACTGGAAAGAACAAAATGATTGAAAATATTTTTTTTTTTAAATTAAAGAAAGATTTACAAAAGAAATAAATAAATAAATAACTAAAATTAAAAGATATATCGCTCAGAGATTGATAAACATTTTTGCCAACTGTCTTCCATTCGAATTACATACCGTCCCAGGAAGACATTACTAGTAAATATCTGCCATCACTCACTGAATATTTTTCTATATATTCTCTAACTTGACGCCATGTTGACCTTTCTCTAATGGCGTTTTTGACAACAACGACTTCGCCAGAAGACTTTTCAAATTCGCCCATTGACATAACAAGGAAGCAATACGCCGATACCGAAAGGTCCGTTTTTCAACCGGATGGAAAGACGGGATTAGTGGGCTCTAGGCTGGACATCTATGAGCCATTGCGGGAAAGAGAGCCGTGCCTCAGTGCAATGAATGAAAGCATCACGATAACTTGAAGGCGGAAGCTAACTTTTGCGAATCTAACCGAACGCACCTGTGAAATGTTTGTCTTATGTTAAGATTCCATGTTATTTAATAATGGTGTGTCAGATGGTCAGCCGTCTTTAAATGCGTTGCATAAGCTGAACAACAACAGTGTGCATTGCAAATAATACGCTGAATAATTTCTGTTGTTTGTTTCTCATTAAAAAAAAAAAAAGACAACAGCAACCTCTATTATTTGTTAAATTTGCCTCGGGGTGAAAGTAGGTATATATCCTTCCAAAACAAGAAAAACTCCTATACAAATGATCAAAGGTAATTTCCAATTTCAGGCCCAAAATTAAATTCCTTCTACGCAAGATAAAAAGAAATTGATCCCAAAAATAATATGAATAGGATTTCCAAAATTAAATCTAATAGAATTTAATAGTAATGCCAAATTAAGAGCCAAAACAAAAAAATACATGAAAATAGATTCGTGTAGTGACACTTGGTATGAAGATCACAATGAGCTGAGACAGAAAATATACCAACACTACCTATAACAAATGTTCAAATACTGGTATGTCTTACTTCGTCTATAAATATGGCAACATTTCAACTAGTTCTCCTTGAAGATATATATATATATATATATATATATATATTATTATTATTATTATTATTATTATTTATATAAAAAATGTTTTTTGCCGACATCATCAAATTTTTGCATTGAATAATTAGCATAAAAACAAACAAAAAATAAAATATTTTTTATAATCCATAGCCCTAATAAATAGTTTAATTACCCTACAAAAAAAGATAACCCTTTATGAAGTCGTCAAAAAACAAATGTTACGGCAGTTTTTTTTTTATACACAAAACCTTTCAGAAAGAAATAAAATAAAAAAAATAAATAAATCTCCACAGACACGTAAACCAGGCTAGGCGAAAACATCTTCCGTTTTAAATTTAGACACCCTAATATTACCCTGACTTGACATCTATGAATGTAACTCTTTACTGATACAAATTATTAACACTCTACACTCCATCCTACTTAAACAATTTCTCTGGCCGTTACCATGGAAATATTGATTTCAATAATGAATATGCTATTAAAACACGTAAATTTCAGAAATAATTTATTCAAAAAAAGGTTTCGCTTGAAGATGGAACAGAGCTTACTTTAATTCAATTTAATTCAAATAATTATATTGAAGTTTTCGGCTCTTGTTTTGAAACATGAGACCTCTTATGTAGCGTGTTGGAATCATATTTTTAAATAAATAATTATATTTATGCTCTACTTTTGTATCGAGCACTACTTTTTAAAAATAATGACAAAAATACTAAAGAATTTTGGATTATTTACCTAAGGAGTCCTTTTCCTATTTTCTATATATTTTTCACACACACACACACACACACACACACACACATATATATATATATATATATATATATATATATATATATATATATATATAGATAGATAGATAGATAGATAGATACACCTAGTGAGCCAGACAAACCTACCTAGGTTTCACCTAAACGGATCGTAGGTAGGTTTGTCTGGCTCACTAGGTGTATCTAGGTCTGCTCTACGGTTGTATTGAGCTCTTTTGTTAGTTAGTTGTTACTCGTATCGGGGTTTTTTTCTTTGAGCTTCAGACCTGCATCTGTGCGATTTTTTGTCGGCAGAACTTCATGTTTGTAGCTCTTTCTTTTTTAAAACCTTTTTCCCTCGAGATTGATTTGATTAGCAAATCAACAATTCGAGGGTTTTTCGAAACGAGTCTAGTTATCTATATATTTATATATATATATATATATATATATATATATATATATATATATATATATAAATATAGTCCTCGAAAAATTGACATCATGTAGTATAATATAAAGTGGACTCTGAAGTCAACACCAAACAAACACAGTCTGTTTTAAACTTAAAGCTAACCTTCAAGATATCGTTCAATCATGAAAGTGATTGACACCGCTAGTGTTAACCCCAGCGTCCTTTATATATATATATATATATATATATATATATATATATATGAGAGAGAAAGAACAGATGT